CATCAGTTCTGGAGAGTTATCCTGATCGAAGCCCTCACCAGCATCTCTTCCCCAGCGGGACTTTCTGCAGCCTCCCCTTTGCAGGTAGTGACCATAGGCATCACACTGGCCTCCAACTACCGGGTATTGTGTAGCTGCATGTGGGCCTTACTATCATCCAATAGATCAAGTTCCCAGCGTTTGAGGTACATGAGCTGGATTTTGTAAAGATAGAAAGTAGCGGGAAGAAGTTGAAGGCAAGATTGCAAGCAGCAGGGCCAGTATCTGGAGACTTCATGACCCCTCCCCATGGTGAGAGGTTTAGCAAGGCCCACGGTGTGCACAGAAAAGCATCTACTTCTGCTTCACTGACTATGCCAAAGCCTTGACTGTGTGGATCACAACAAATTGTAGAAAATTCTTCAAGAGATGGGAATACCAGACCATCTTACCTGCCTCCTGATAAATCTGTATGCAGGTGAAGAAGCAATCGTTAGGCTGGACATGGAACAACAGCTCAAAACTGGGAAAGGAGTGCATCAAGGCTGTATATTGTCACCCTGTTCATTTAAGTTATATGCAGAGTACATCATGAGAAATGCTGGGCTGGAGGAAGCACAAGCTGGAATCAAGATTGCCGGGAGAAATATCAATAACCTCAGATATGCAGATGACACCACCCTTATGGCAGAAAGTGAAGAAGAACTAAAGAGCCTCTTGATGAAAGTGAAAGAGGAGAGTGAAAAAGTTGGCTTAAAGCTCAACATTCAGAAAACTAAGATCATGGCATCTGGTCCCATCACTTCATGGCAAATAGATGGGGAAACAATGGAAACAGTGAGCTCTGTGGGGGTGAAAGCTCAGAGGAGACAAAAGAAGGAAAGGAAGGAAGGAAGGAAAGAAAGAGGAGAGAAAGGAAAAGAGGAAGTTTCTTTCTCAGGGTTTGTTAGGGAGGAAACAGTGACACATTTTCTCTTCTCAGTGGAGAGAATGCAGATCAGCACCTTTTCCTTTCCTGCTTGGGTCCCAGTCCGATCTCCTTAGAGTGGGAGGTACCATCCCCTAAAGAGCTGTTGTCTCTGCACCGGTGGATGCTGTGTGACTTCCTCCCCACTTCCCAGCTGTCCCCACCCTGTCTTGGGCCTCACGCATCTGCAGTGGCTCCCATGGTGGCCTTGCTGTCACCTCTGTCTGTCCAACCCTCTGACTCCTGCCCTGGGATTTGAACCCAGGCAGAAAAGCTCCAGAATGTTCATGCCTGGCAAGGAGGCTGCTCTGTGTTCCAACTGCTCTGCAAACCTGGGATCATGCTGTTTTTTTTCTATTCTTTTCTTTCAATGTCGTATTGGAATGACTTCCCATAACATTAAATACAATTTTCAGGCAGTTGCTTGTGTGATCGTCTGTCTATGCTGTGGACACTCTATGTTGAATTGACCTCGGGATGTCCCAGATATTCTCTTTTGTAGGAGACTCTGAGGACTTCATTCTTGCTCATTTATGTTGGTGGCTGCTTTTGACCATCGCTTTAGCATAATTGTTAGTAGCAAAATTGCTGGGACAAAGGCCATAAGTATATTCAGGACAAAACATCTCCAGAAAAATTGAGCAAAGTTACACTCTTAAAGAAGTGTTCCACACCTATCTTTTTGCTATTTTTCCCACTGTTTCTCTCACCTAAGGTATACATCTCTTTGATCTACAATTTGTAAAGGATAAAAGTGGAGGATGGGGTAAGATTATTGCTTTGAAGATCAGAATTTATCCTCATGTTGGTGGCACAGGCTACAAACATAGAGCCTCAAGAACAGGAGGGGCTTCCCTGGTAGCTCAGCTGGTAAAGAATCAGCCTGCAATGCAGGAGACCTAGCTTCAATCCCTGGGTTGGGAAGATCCCCTGTAGAATGGAACAGCTGCCCACTCCAGTATTCTGAGCCAGAGAATTCCATGAGTGTATAGTCCATGGGTTGCAAAGAGTCGGACCCAACTAAACAATTTTCACTTTCACTTTTCAAGAACAGGAGTCTCCTTAACAGACACCAGCTCCAGCCCCGGTTTTAGGAGAGCCCCAGCTGATCAGTCCCAGCTGATCTAGAGGGGGCAAAGCCTGACCTTTTCCAGTTCATATTATGGCAGTAGCTGTGCTGAGACCATGCGTGTCTCCCAACATGGATGCACCAATGTGTTCTATTGGAAGTATCTATAAATGTGCCCATTCATTTAGTTAGCATGTATTACTTGTGGGACTATTATGTGCCTGTCTCCAGTATGGATGAAAGAAGATCGGAGGAGACTTCTTTCATCTGTACAATGGGGGACATGTCTTGCCAGGCTTGTGTGGAGACAGCAAGATCGCATATGTAATTGACCAGAGCTGTGCTTCTTACACTTACTGGTGATTTCTTACCAACAGAATCATGGCTTATGGTTCTATGAAGACTACTTGGAAAATGAGTTTGAGAGACTGTTGCCTTGAGTCTCCATTTCACTCAGTTCATGATATTTACTGTCAAGGGGATCATAATCCAGTGTCATCTAAAGGGGCCAGGCACAGGCAACCTTGGACACAGGGCTGTTCTGCACAGAGATGACAACCGCAAGGTAGACGGGTGTGTTTCAGGGTTTGATGAGAAGCCTGAAGTCAATGACCCTCCACTTGCCCTCTGCCAGCCTTTCCATGTCTCCCTGAAAGGAAGCTCTTCACTCCTTGGCCTCTTACCCACAGCTCTGCCATTTTCTCCATCTGGCCCTCCCCAGTGAGAGTTGTCTCTTTAACTGTCTCCATGACTTGGTGGTGGGTTCCAGCCCATCCCTCTCCCCTGGGGTCCACCGCAGCACCTGGCACATATAGCTGCTCAGTAAATTTGTAGTGAATGAAAGATGAGGAAGAGATGAGGAATACGTCTCTTTGACTGATGCTTGCCTTATAGAGGAAAGGCCCATACTGAGAGGGTAACAGGTAGGAAGGCCAGAGGACCCCAAGTGGCAGAAGGAAATCATAACCTGCAAGTGGCAGATGTTTTTCACTTCTCAGCACAAAATTCAAAGAGTCTTCTTTAAATTCTGTGTTGATGACGCCTGGTTCTACCTTGAACTAACCAATGTGTTTTTCTTATGGAAGTATTTTTTTCCCAAGCTGTGTTAATGAAACTATGTATTTGCTTTGGAATCTGTCTTTCTTCAAAATGGTTCCACCTAAGACTAATTTTCTTTTTCTTTTCTCAAACCTTGGGCTATAAATGGCTCATCCAACTAGTATTCCTGTTAATTGTTTTATGGCCAGAGGATGTCTCAAAAATGCGTATTGTGGGAGAAGGGCATGTGAAACTCCCTCAGCGCTGAGGTGTCTGTTATATGGTTAATAGCTTTCCAACAGACATAAAACACCTCGTTAAAAACTAGCAAGGGGGCACTCTTTCTGTCCCCTTCTGATGTCTATGTCAGAAGCTTTCCTTATCTCTACTATGCTTTAATAAAATTTTTCTACACAAAAAGCTCAAGTAATCAAGCCATGTCTCTGACCCCAGATCAAAATCCTCTCCTCCAGAGGTCACAAATCCCAGTGTAACACACAGCTCACAGCAGCAAACTTTCAATACTATGCATTGAGTTGGGTCTGTTTTCCACGTTACTTATTTTTTTGTTGTTTGTTTTTTCTCTTATCTTTTCTCTGCCTCTGACCCTGGCGTCCCCATCAGGGCCTCTGCCTCAGGTCTCCAGGTGAGAGAAAGTGATGCTTCCACTCTTATAGTGTCAATCCATGGCAACTTGAACCAAATGGTTTAGAGCTCTACCCTTGAAGGAAGTCAGAAAGGCTGACGGCTCTGTGCACCTTGGGTCCCCCATTATATGAGTGGCATCCTCCCCAGCAGCACTGGAGGCCAATGGAAGGGTCCTGCTGGACCCCAGAGGAGGGGAATGGCTCAAAGATCCACACAGGCCTGAAACTTGGGAAGTGGGACTGGAAGGGACACAGCAGGTATGGGTTGTAGAGAGCTGGTGATTGGGGTGGGAGGAGGAAAGGAAACCATCTCAACTTGAAGGACTTCACCGAGACCCCCTGGAGCAGAAAGCTACTGCCAGTGTTCCTCTGAGATGGGGAGGATAGAAGCTATTTTTTTTTTTTACCCCTTACCATCCCTCTGAAAGGGGGCTTCCCAGATGGCTCAGAGTTAAGAATCTTGCTCCCAGTGCAGGAGGCTTAGTTCAATCCCTGGGTTGGGAAGTTCCCCTGAGAAGGAAATGGCTACCCACCCCAGTATTCTTGCCTGCAAATCCTATGGACTGAGGAGCCTGGGGGCTACAGTCCATGGGGTTGTATAGAGTCAGATATGACTGAGTGTGCAGGCACTGTAACCCTATCCATCTGGATGGGAAGTGGTGGAGTTGGTGTTGCGGTCATAAACTCTTCACTTCTTTGGGGCTGCCTTTCCCCAGTTTCAACTATGTGGTTCTGGAGGAACTGGTCACACATAACTATCACAGGCAGGGCCAGGTGATGAATTAAACCAGCTATAGGACTCCATGCCCCTTCCAGGATGCTTGGTCCAGGACTGGACACATGATCAGATGTGGTCCCTTCAAAGCACTCCCTTGAACCTGATGTCTTCTGAGCTTCTTTCCTTACTGGTTAGTTGCTTTAGAGAGATAAAGGCGTGAGGCAGGCAGCTTGAAACTCTCACTAGGTGTAGAAACCCGAGGGAAGAAAGCTGTCAGGCTAAGAGAATCAAAGAAGAGAGAAGGGGAAGTGTGAGGGTGTCAAAGAGTGAGCTGATGGCTTCTGATTTCTTGGGTACAGTCCCTGAGATCTTTGGATCTGCTCCAGTTCCTGCATCCCAGATCCCCGGTGTCTTTTCAATAAGTCTCTCCTCTCTTGAAGCCAGTTGGAGTTGGGATCCTTTTACTTGTGGTTCAGACTTGATTCTAGATCCTTCCCAGTTTTGATGCACCTCCCCAACCCAAACAGAAGCAGCCATTTGTATTAGCTCTATTGAGATGAAATCCTTTATTCTTTTCTGAGGACAGGGCTTGCATAGCACCAAACACAGTTCACCAGCATCCCTGGGCGGGAGTGCCCTACGTGTGAAGGTGTCTTTGGAGTGGGCCTGAGTGATTCCTAAAGCAGCCCAGCATTTACACTGAGGGAGCCAGGCCAATCCTGTTGTTTCCCCGATCAAAAACTGTGAAATATGCTCTCAGGAAGATGTCCCCCAGGACCCAGGTCTCTGGGGGGCTCAGGTTTTCTGTGCCCCCATTAAAGGTTATAAAGCAGATGTCTTCAGAAACCTGGGGGAGACAAAAATGCACACCAGTCAGCATGAGCACTTACCTGCCACCCCCCTCAATATCCAGAGCAGAGAGCTTTTCCATTTTTTCCCGTTTGGGAAGAATCAAGTGGCTCTCACAGCAGCTGCAGAAGTGAGGGTATAGGAACAAGAAGGGCCAAAACATGTGGTTGCCATGACAGAGGGGTGTGGGGAGGGGAGGATTGGGAGTTTGGGATTATCAGATGTGAACTAATATATAGAGACTGTAAAACAACAAAGTTCTACTGTATAGCACAGGTGACTGCATTCAGTATCCCATGATAAACTGTAATAGAAAAGAATATGAAAAAGAGTAGGCATACATTTATATATATAAAACTGAATGACTTAGGTTTAGAGCAGAAATTAACACAACACTGTAAGTCAGCTCTACTTCAAAGTACTTTTTTTTTTTTCAAAGAAAAAGAATGGCCCATAGCTCCCCATCACACTCTGCTGTTTCTTTCCTTCTGACTCCTGCCCTCTTTTTTCCTCCACAGGGAATACCTATTCTTCTCCCCATTGCCCACAACCCATTCTTTTTCTAAAAAAAATTTAAATTTTGTATTGAAGGATAGCCAATTAACAGTATTGTGATAGTTTCAGGTGGACAGCAATGGGACTCAGCCATACATATACATGTCCCCACTCTCCCCCAAACTCCCCTCCCGTCCAGGCTGCCATGTAACACTGAGCAGAGCTCCCTGTGCTACGTAGTAGGTTGTTGTTGGTTACCCATTGTAAATAGCATTGTCACAATGCATTCTTCCTACTGCGCTCAGGCCGTCTAGGAAAACTTTCTGGTCCTACACTCACATCATTTGGTCACTCCAGTCTGGGTTGGGTGACTTACCCTGGTGCTCTCTTGGTCTGTAGCCCTCCTCACCCCTAATCTGCCCCCGGACCCCTTTGCACAGCCCCTGTGGGTACCGTAGAATCTATTATAGATTTGCCTCAACCCAAGCAGGCTTCCTCATTCCTTCATGAGGCTGGGGGTTTAGAATTACTGCAATTCCCTTTCTTCAAAGCCTCCTTTGAGCCCATCAGCCTGCTCTGAACTCCCACAGGGAGCTGACATGAAGCCTCCACCCTGTGCCGGGCTGGGCAGCCACTGTGCTCCTTTATTCACCTTAGCATCCAACTTCCCCACAGAGGGGTCGGTACCGCAACTCGCAGAGTGCGACGTTGTAGCCAAATTCTAGCATAAGCATGTAATTTATGATCTCAATCTGGACACTTCCGTGTTGGGAAGGGGAGACTGTTAACCCCTATGGTGGGACAGCACAACAGGACTGTCCTCAGCCAACCCACCTTGTCACTTGTTCTATTCCAGGGATTGCTAGAGCTGACTTTCCGCGTTCATGCATCTGAGGTCTCTGGTTGAACTGAAGCTCTGGGAAACCTGAGACCCTTAGTGTTCCCCTCTCCTTGTGACTCCCACCACGCCAGCACGGGGTGGGGTCTCCACGGTTATTGCAGGAGGAGGGATGTCCCAGACCGCCCTTCACTCTCACGTGGTTGGTTTTGTGGGAGGCGCTGGCCCAGCCACAGGGACTCAGCAGCATCTGAGGTGCAGCAATGTTGTGACCAGGCCTGCAGAGGGCGCCCTCCTCCCAGCAGGAACCCAAGGGTTCCTGTAAGTCTGAGATTTGGGAACCAGCCCCCAAGGTCGTCCCCTTACCTTCTGGATGTAGTATTTACGGGTCAGTGGGTAGTCCATGCCATTGATGGTGAAGATAACAGGAGGCAGGGCTATGGTACGGTGACATGAAATCAATCGCTGTAAAAGAAAGCAGGAGAGAGGTTGATCCAGGTGTTCCTTGGTGTGTGGGGAGCCCAAGAATGACTCTGTGGCATGACCCTTCACCTGTTCATTCTGGAGGGGGCTGGGGTTGATGCTCCTCAGGATGCTTCTGACTATGTCAGTTGGGCCAAACAAATATGAGCTCCCGATATCCAAAATGGCCTGACATCCGCTGGAACAAGCAATCACTTTTCTATTCATGGAGATGCTGAAAGACGGAGGGACAAAGCGGGCACTAGGATCACTCTGGAGACCCCCGTATCACTATCCCTTCCCTGACTCTCTCCTGAAGAGCTCTTCAGCTCTTGCCCTGACTCTGTTTTTCTTTTCTCTGGTCACATCATCTTTTTAACTTCCTTTCAGTTCTTACAGGCACCAGGCTCAGGGCCTGGGCTTGTGCTGGCAAGCTTCCTAGAACTTCATCCCCTTTGTTTAGCAAATTTCTCTTTATCTTCCAGGTTAATGGTCACTATGTCAGGAAAGTCTTCTTCGCCAGAGTAGGTAAGGCTCCTGTCGTTCTCAGACTCTGTAGACTCTTCCTCATGTCTAGCATGTACCAAGGTGGTAATTCACTGTGTGTGAACTTCATTTCATGTTGTTTTACCTATGTCTGCCTCACTAGATGTGAGGGCAAGTTGGATCCTCAGTGCCTCCCTCAAGTGCCCAGCACACAAGCGATGTACAATGTATGATTGTTGAACGAATGAATGAGCGGTAGTGGGGGAGACACAGGCTGCCTTGGGAGAGTTTGTCTCCCAGCACTGCCCCCTCACCCGACTCAGACCCTGAGGCCCCCTGCCAGGGGAGCATGAGCAGACCCAGGGGCCTCCAAAGAGCAGGTGAGCTTTGGCCTGAGGCTATCACAGAGAATCCCATCAATTCTCGCCCCTTGTTCTCAGGCCATGCCTGGATCCCAGCTTCCTGATTCAGGCACAGCCCCTGCCCCGCTGTGTGCCAGGCTTGGGCGGCAAGTAGCACTGGTTAGGTGGGGTGTCTCTTTTTATGCGTTGCTCTCAGGTCTCAAGACTGCAGCCAAACTCTCTTCACTGTTGTGTAACTTCTCTCTGAGGAGACCAGTTTTCCCAGTTTTTCAGGACTTTCTCAGCTTTTCAACTGGCAATTCTGTGTCCTGAGAATACCCTAGGTCCTGGGTGGCCCTGGTCAGTAGGTCATCTTAACACAATCCTGTTCAGGTTGGTGAAATTCCCCCTGATTCTCTTTTCACCATACTATAGGGTCCTTTAACCAGGCTCCCCACCTCACAGCAGAGGAATGCAGCTCTCCCCCAGCTGCCCAGGCCTCTCTGGACCCTTTCAGGACCCTGGTCAGAGGCCTGGACAGCAGCTCTGGGGAAATTATGAAACCATGGGTGGTGTGTGTTCCTGTGTGCATATTTGCATGCATGTGTGTGTCTCTGTGTGTTTATATGTTTGCCTCTGTATGTGTTTATATGTGTCTCTGTATCTGTTTTTACGTGTGTGTGTGGAGCGTATGTCTGTGTGTGACTGTGTGTGCATTTGTGTGTGTATGAAAAGGAGTACGTCAGGGCTGTATATTGTCACCCTGCTTATTTAACTTACATGCAGAGTGCATCATGAGAAACGCTGGGCTGGAGGAAGCACAAGCTGGAATCAAGATTGCTGGGAGAAATATCAATAACCTCAGATATGCAGATGATACCACCCTTATGGCAGAAAATGAAGAACTAAAGAGCCTCTTGATGAAAGTGAAATAGGAGAGTGAAAAAGTTGGCAAATAGATGGGGAAACATTGGAAACAGTGAGAGACTTTATTTTCTTGGGCTCCAAAATCACTGCAGATGGTGACTGCAGCCATGAAATTAAGAGATGCTTACTCCTTGGAAGGAAAGTTATGACTAACCTAGATAGCATATTTTTTTTTTTTTTTTAGATAGCATATTAAGAAGCAGAGACATTACTTTGCTGACAAAGGTCCGTCTAGTCAAGGCTATGGTTTTTCCAGTAGTCATGTATGGATGTGAGAGTTGGACTATAAAGAAAGCTGAGCACCAAAGAATATATGCTTTTGAATTGTGGTGTTGAAGGAGACTCTTGAGAGACCCTTGGACTGCAAGGAGATCCAACCAGTCCATCCTAAAGGAGATCAGTCCTGGGTGTTCATTGGAAGGACTGATGTTGAAGCTGAAACTTACTCCAATACTTTGGCCACCTGATGTGAAGAGCTGACTCATTTGAAAAGACCCTGATGCTGGGAAAGATTGAGGGCAGGAGGAGAAGGGGATGACAGAGGATGAGATGGTTGGATGGCATCACAAACTCAATGGACATTAGTTTGGGTAAACTCTTGGAGTTGGTGATGGACTGGGAGGCCTGGCATGCTGCGATTCATGGGGTCACAAAGAGTCAGACACGACTGAGTGACTGAACTGAACTGAATTGTATGTGTCCATGTGGATGTGTGGCAGCATCGTTTGGGGTGGCCCTCAGAGGGGCAGGCTTACCGGTCCACAGTTATCTGCCATAAGCCGGCTTCGGTAACTGGTACCCACTTGAGAGCTCCCTTGTGGTAGGCGTGGTCCACCCCACCAAGCATCAGCAAGCTGCTCTTGTGCGGCCAGCTGAAGAGAGGAGGAAGAAGGAGCTCATTGGAGGAGGGTAACACCAGCCACTGTCTGAGGGCTGTGCTTCTTCACCCGTCAGAGGCACTACTATCGTCTCCATTTTACACATGCGGAAACGGATGCTTGGAGAGCTTGCGTACCTGACCAGGGTCGGTCCCCATCTAACGAGTGTCACAGAAGAGGTTCGAACCTGGGCAGCCTGGCTCCAACCAGGCCTGGCTCCGACCACCCATCCTTCTGAAGAGGGCCTGGACTTTTCCAGCCACCTGGATGCTCAGATACACCCTCAGAGGACTCTATGCTGGAGGGGTCAGGCTTCCTCCTTGTCTAGCCTGTCATTTTTCAGGAAAGATGATGTCTGAGGGAGCTAAGAACATGGGTTCAGGCTCACCCAGGGTTGGCTCTTCTTGCCTGTGACCTGTGCTGTCCATGGGACTTCAAGCTGAGCAGGCCACCCACCTCCACTCTCCCTGTCTTGAAATCCCTAATGTGTTTCAAACAAGGGGTTTCACTTTTTCATTTTGTGCTGGCTCTTGCAAATTCTGTAGCTTGTCCTGGGTTCCCAGTGAAATGTTAATGAGAAAGGAAACATTCCAGGCATCCTTCTCCTTCCATCCTTATCAAATTCATTAGCAAAACCTGTCGCCTTTTCCTCCAATATCCTGACACCTTCTACTGCTTTCCCTATTACCTCCACCTCCCTGAACAAAACTGCACCCTTGGACTCATGAGCATGGTTGTGTTCCAATGAAACTGTATTGATAAAAACCCAGTGACGGGGCCAGATGTGATCCTGGGGCCATAGTTCTCCTAGGCTAGACCATCTCACTGGAATATTATGGATGAGGTAGTCTTTAATTTTTCATGCAACTGAAAGCATCTTATAGTTAATTTGGAGAGAGGACTTGTCCAGCTCAGACTTACCTGCTTATGAAAAAGGCAAAGACAGGCTCAGAAATGATTCCATTTTTATTCAGGTTGTCGAAGATGGGGGTGGTCCCTAGGATGGCGAGGCTGGGGTAGGCTAAGCCCATGATGCCATCATAAGGTGCTTGTTCCAAGGCCCCACTGAGCTTATTCATGCTGAGGACAAACGTCTGTGACTTGGCAATAAGTCCCCCGATCTGTGAGAGAGGAGAGTGTGCCCACGTAAAATTTGGGAAGTGGGACTAGAACTGGGCTGTGGGACTGTAGATGCCATTAGCACTCTAGAGAACTGAATCATCAGTTGATCTCAGATGGGGACATCAAGCTGGGACAGGAATTTGGGTTCCGTTTGTGTGGGGCCATGCATCTTAGCAATGCCTGCTTATCCTGCAAACACCATCTGAGTGAGTCAAATTGGTCTCATGTCTTCTGTACAGGTGGGGCAACCAAACTCAGGGCAGGACTGAGTGGTTCCCCTCTGAGGATACAATGAATAGAGAGCAGAATATTCTTCTCTTTGGCAACACTATGATCTGATGACAAACATGAACTGAATTCATTGCAATGCATTGTGGATCCTGCGTCAGCCCAGGAAGACAGAAGCCCATTATACAATGTCTTTGGCTGGGTTCTAATGAACATTCTTCCTGGATATCAGGCTTTTGGGGATATGCACACTTGTGTGTGAGTGCCTGTGTGTGTGTGAGACAGAGGGAGACATAGGCCCAGACAGAGAAACACAGGGGGAGCACACTCAGGCACTGTGTGTGTATGTGGGGGGGGGGGCAGGACATAGTTTTTATTAGTCTCAAAGGCCCCCTAGAGTGAGAACCCTTTTATCAGTCCCATCTTACACCTGTGACCCCTGATTTCCCTGCCTGGATACCTGAAGCCCTGTGCTGCCCCAAGGGCCCCAGATCAGCTTTATCGTTTCCCCAAATCCCACACTTACTCGTATCTTGAAGGACAGCCAAGCTCCAACTTAAAAAATACATGAGCTGGGCAAGGCCCTCATTCTCTACACCTCATGTCCCTCATCTTTATCCTGGGATAATAATAGTACCTCCTGCCTGTAGATGTTGCAAGATAAAACAAGTTATTACCATGAAAGTGCCCTGTAGAGCCTGTGAATATAAAAGGGGGTGCTTTATTCCCCCTTCTTCCTACTCCAGCAAAACGCACCTTGGGTAATGGATATGCGGGTCCACCCTCCAAGCCCCTCTCTGGGGTTCATTGTTTTGGGAGTTTGTGTGTCAGCAGGGGCACTGTCTCCCCAGGGACAGGGCCCTGCTGGGCATGTGGCCAGCCATGAGGGGACTTTCAGAAAGACAGTCCCTCCCAGCTGCAGCTATTTTACAGGCAGTGGTTGCTCCCAGGACCAGACCTGACTGAGCCCCTGGTTCCCACATTACCCGAACCGTGTCAGTGGCAAGAACTCCTGTTATGCTTCCAGATCCATAAGTGAGTTTGATGTGTTTCCCCTCATCAGATTGGAAGCTGCTGGACGTCTTAGGGTTGTATCTCAAGTATTTAGCTGCCGACACAAGTGATGGGTATCAGTCAGGTGCCGGGAATGGAGGGGGGGAGGGGGAGGACAAGATGGGTGGGGGGCTGGTACTCACAGCAGGAGGGAGCTTGGCAGTAGATGAAGGAAACCCACAAGTCAGACGAGCTGGTGTCAATGATGACACTGAACTCTTGAGGGGGTGTTCCAATGGTGATGTTGATGATGTAGGCCATCTACAGGGGTCAGGGAGGGAGGTTAGAGCAGACTTGGCTGCCTGGCTACCCTCTGTTCATAGCGTCCTGCCTCCCTCTGGGCATCCCAAGGCCTGAAATCACTTTCCAATCTCCCTTCCTCACAGCCTCTGCTCAGAGGTCCCTTCATCTTAGAAGCTCTCCAGTCTCCTCTTTAAGGCCAACCTTATCACCTTCTTCTCCAGGTGGCCCTCCTAGTTCACCCCAGGCCACTCCTGCTAATCTCAGAGCATGCCCTGTCAACAACATGAGGGTGGCCCCTTTCTTGATATGTATTCAATTTTTTACTCTCTCTGGCTTGCCTATGCATTCTTGAACAAGAGATAAGCATCTCCCCCTCCTTTAAAAATTAAACAAAACAGTAGCTATAGTGTTAGACCTTTATGGAGTCACATGCATTAGGGGCTCAGTAAACTAGTGTCTTTTCTGGATCTGTAGAGGGTGAACTTTCTCTGCCTGGGGATTCACACTTGATTTGCAGTCGGCGTTATCTTTTGTTTGGCATGTCTCACCATTCGTCTTTTATCAGTGGCTCACTTAGTTCAGAAAGAATAATCTCCCTGAAACTAATGCCACCTTTTTGACCCAGAAATGGATGTTTACCTACCAGCTGGTCATTGCTGGGCCCAGTCACCACAGACCAAGATTTGAAGACAAGACTGCCTTCTCCTCTGGGAATGGGTTCCTGTTCCCCACTGTTTCTGCCTCCTGCAGGAGCCCCAGCCTCAACATCCCACCTGGCACCTCCAGATGAGCCCCAGTGCTAGACCAGAGCCTCAGCTGCGGAGCACCATCCTCCCAACACGCTCACGTTCAAGAAGTTCCTCAGGGGATGAGATGAGAACTTGTAGTCAAGATTAGTTTCCTGGGACAGGTTATAAGATCGTTCCTCCAGGAAATCTTTTGGCGTAATTTCTTCCAAGACTGTTTCTCGAAGTGTCTTCATCTTCGTCATAGGGATTCTTTTACCAAGCATGGGGAAAAGGAAGAGCCAGTAACCAAGTATGAGTGTCATATCTGGCATTGTAATGGCACCGTGTATTTTCCAAGCATTTTTATGAGTGTCACCTTTTATCAGAATGCCATGCAAAGACATGTCAAAGACCTAGGTCTGCATACAGGTTCTGTTGTGTAATCTTGGGTAAACCAGATGACCATTTGGAGCCTACACAGATGAACACCCTGACACATACACACAGCAGAGGAGAGAGAGCAGAGAGAAGACCTAAAAGCAAATGCAGGAGAAATGCTTTTCTATAGCACCACACCGAGAGCTGCACAGGTCATGCACTGAACAATTCCCAGGAGTGCCATTTTTATATGGGTCATGATATGACTGGTACTCCCAGAGTTATGCAACTCTGTAAGCCTGCCCCATGAACGATGCCCATGACAATATTCTCATCAATAAGTGAGAGTTGAAATTTAAGACTGCCGGAGAATGATTACTTTCTCTTCTAACCCTGATGGATGGAAGAATAAGAGGACGAAAAGAGAAATCCCAGAAAGAGAGATGATGCCACTTACAGTCCCCATACTTACATGACTATGCCCTCTGAGATGGCCACCAGCCCGATGAGCACAAGCCACTTCATGCTTCTTTCCTGGGTCCTAGTATTCAGGGAAGTTCGGGTTCTTAGCATACAGTGGTGGCCAAGAGCTCCTAGCTATATATGTTCTGACCTGAGATAATTGTCCCCTTTAGGCTACTAATAGATCTGATAAAGAATACCAAACTCTTGATAAAATCTTTATCTCTATCATTTTCTGTGGACATTGGATTAGACAATTCTCAGAATACAGAAATTTCTACTGTAACTTGTTCTTTGAGGCTTGAATGAAAAATTAAACTAAACAAAGAATGAGGAGACTGCTGCCAGCTTGGAGATAAAACACTGATAATAATATGATAAAAGTAAATGCTGGGGCCCATGCTAAACATTCGTGATCTCATGTGATATTCCTAAGATGTATGTGGCTGTCCTCAGTTGGAGAAGGGATTGCTAGAAGGAAAAGAAATCACTAGCAAAGTGAAGACTTTAGGGGCAGCCCAGTGACATATGAGTGGCTTTAGGTAGTGGGACATTGGCACAGATCAGGGGCACCTTTGATGCCAGTCTGTATCAAAGATCTAGGCTGGAGTAGTACTGCAATTGCATGGTTTCAGTATTGGAAGAAATGTGATGCAGGCATCCACCAGATTCTTTATATCATCCAACAAACATTTAAGGGGAACCCTGTGTGCTGGGGTCTGGGTAGGACGTTGGAAAGTCAAAGTTGAGTAACACACAGATGTTCATTATCCTAAGGAGCTAGCAGTCTAAGTCATTTCTCACAAACCCCTGGCCCAAGAGAAATGAATGATAGTGTTCAGTGGGCATCCTGGATACCTGGCATGACAGGCCTTTCTACTGGGAACTGCCTCTCCTCAGCTCCAACCAGCAGCTTCCAGGCTGGAAAGCAGGGTGATTGGCTTCATTTAGATTGGCTCCATTCAGAGAAGTCTAGATATTTGTGTACTATCTCCTGACTCAAATATGGACAATCTTAACTCTATCTCTTTTTTATTTTGGTTTTCAAAAACAAAATGAGGTAGCTATAGTTGGCCTCTGAGCCAGACACCTGGTGGTTGTCAAGTGGAGTAAAACTGAGCTTTTGCTCTCACCCAGACTGTTCCAGGGCAAAGCTAGTGGTAAAGCTGAGCTCTACTAAAACAAGGAGATAAGGTGCCCACTCCTGAGGTCAAGGAAGATTTACCCAGCTGCACATGTGCAAGAAGGCTTCTTGGGGTGGAAAAGAGAGGGGATCTCACCCCATAATAAGTGTGGACATGCACCCATAGGCCTGTGCAGTGGGATCCATCTTAGCAAAAAGTTGTGAATGCATCTTGGGGAGGGTCCATGGACCAGTCAGGTGTGAAGAAAGAAAGAAGAAAACTGCCCAAGGGTAAACAGAGGCCCAGAAGGACTGTCCTATGTAAATGATTTCCTTCACCTCCACATGGCACTGCTTCTCACTCAGGACGCCCACACTCCTCTTTGGGTATCACCCCTGCCTAGTTTTTGACGCACTGCACTCCTCTTCATTACAGAAGATGCCCATGTCCTTCCCCTTTCTGTGGGTTTCTATGCCTGCTTCTGAGGCGAATGGAACAACTGTTTTCCCATGGGCCCACCATACATCGTGTCATGTCTCTGATAATAAAATTTGTACCTGATTTTACAGTTTTTGCCTCTTTGAAACATTCTTGCTTTCAAACAGGGGTAAGAGCCAGGACCACATTGCTTCTAACCTCCAGCTCCTGGTGGCCTAGTGGCTAGGACTTTTGGTTTTCTTCCGTTACCCAGGTTTAATTCTTGGGCGGGAAACAAAGTTCTCTCTTCAGGACCACTCACTACTCTCCCTCTGAGATCAATAGTGGGAGCCAAATGTCAAACAACTGTGTGCTGAATTCAGACTGCATGCTGTGCAGGTTTTTATTTCTGCCCTAGAGGTGGGAGTAGTGAGGGGACAGAGAGGGGATTCAATTCAAGTTGGTTGATTGAATAAGAGACTGAATGCATATTAGCTTTGTTAATTTTCTTTCCATTTGTAAAGAAGGATCAGCAGGGTGATGTAAACCAATAAATTTAATAATATCCATTTGTTGGGGACAAATGGATAGAATTCTACTTCCCTAATAGGTTCCATGTGAAATGAGCACAATTGTGTAGTAGTTTGAACATTCTTTGACATTGCCCTTCTTTGGCATTGCAGTGAAAACTGACTTTTTCCAGTCCTGTGACCACTGCTGAGCTTTCCTAATTTGCTGGCATATTGAGTGCAGCACTTTCACAGCACCATGTTTTAGGATTTGAAATAGCTCAGCTGGAATTCCATCACTTCCGCTAGCTTTGTTCATAGTGATGCTTCCTAAGGCTCACTTGACTTACCACTCCAGAATGTCTGGCTTTAGGTGAGTGATCACACCATTGAGGTTATCTGGGTCATTAAGATCTTTTTTTAATAGTTCTTCTGTGTATTCTTGCCACCTCTTAATATCTTCTGCTTCTGTTAGGTCCTTGCGATTTCTGTCCTTTATTGTGCCCATCTTTGCATGAAATGTTCCCTTGGTATCTCTCATTTTCTTGAAGAGATCTCTAATTTTTCCCACTCTATTGTTTTCTTCTATTTCTTTGAATTGTTCACTTAAGGCCGCTTTCTTATTTCTCCTGGCTCTTCTTTGGGACTCGGCATTCAGAGGAGTATATCTTACCTTTTCCCCTTTGCCTTTCACTTCTCTTCTTTTCTCAGCTATTTGTACAGCCTCCTCAGACAATCCATTTACCTTGTTGCATTTCTTTTTTTCCTGGGAATGGCTTTGGTCACCACCTCCTGTACAATGTTACAAACCTCTCTCTGTAATTCTTCAGGCACTCTGTCTATAACATCTAATCCCTGGACTCTATTAGTCACTTAAACTGTATAATCATAATGGATTTGATTTAAGTCACATCTGAATGGCCTAATTGTTTTCCCTTCTTTCTTCAATATAAGTCTGAATTTGCCAATAAAGAGCTCATGATCTGAGCCAAGTCAGCTCCTGGTCTTGTTTTTGTTGACTGTATACAGCCTCTCGACCTTTGTATGCAAAAAATATAATCAATCTGAAATTGATATTGACTGCACAATTGTCCTCATTTCCCATACTAGCAAGGTAACGCTCAAAATCCTTCAAATTAGGCTTCAAAAATACATGAACCAAGAACTTCCAGATGTACAAGCTGGATTTAGAAATGGCAGAGGAACCAGAGATCAAATTGCCAACATCCAGTGGATCATAGAAAAAGCAAGGGAATTCCAGAAAAACATCTACTTCTGCTTTATTGATTTGCTAAAGTCTTTGACTGTGTGAATCAATACAAACTGTGGAAAATTCATAAAGAGTTGGGAATACCAGATCACCTTACTTACCTACTGAGAAACCCATATGCAGGTCAAGAAGCAACAGTTAGAACTGGATATAGAACAATGGACTGGTCAAAATTGGGAAAGGAGTACATCAAGGCTGTATACTGTCACCCTGCTTATTTAACTTATATGTAGACTACATCAAGGGAAATGCTGGGCTGGATGAAGCACAAACTGGAGTTAAGATTACTGGAAGAAATATCAACAAACTCAGATACGCATATGACACTACCTTAATGGCAAAAAGCACAGATGAGCTAAAGAGCCTCTTGATGAAAGTCAGAGAAGAGAGTGAAAACCTGGCTTAAAATTCAACATTCAAAAAGCTAAGATCATGGCATCTGGTCCCATCACTTCAAGGCAAATAGATGGAGAAATAATGGAAACAGTGACAGATTTAATTTTCTTAGTCTCCAAAATCATTGTGGACAGTGACTGCAGCTATGAAATTAAAAGATGCTTGCTCCTTGGAAGAAAAGTGATAACAAACCTAGACAGTATATTACAAAGAAGAGACATCACTTTGCCACCAAAGGCCTGTATAGTCAAAGCTATGGTTTTTCCAGTAGTCAAGTACACATGTGAGAGTTGGCCCATAAAGAAGGCTGAGTGCTGAAGAATGAATGCTTTTGAATTGTGGTGCTGGGAAAGACTCTTGAGAGTCCTGTTTACAGCAAGGAGATAAAAACAGTCAGTTCTGAAGGAAATCTTTGGATATTCATTAGAAGGACTGATGCTGACGCTGAAGTTCCAATTAATTTGCCCATCTGATGTGAAGAACTAACTCACTGGAAAAAACCTGATGCTGGAAAAAATTGAGGGCAGGAGGAAAAGAGGGCAAAAGAGGATGAGATGATTGTATGCCATCACTGACTCCATGGACATGAGTTTGAGCAGACTCCAGGAGACAGTGGAGGACAGGGAAGCCTGGTGTGCTGTAGTTCATGGGGTTATGAAGAGTCATACATGACAAGTGACTGAACAGCAGCAAAAGGATTCAGGCCTTGCAACTTTTTGTCTGCAAAACCAAACCAAACCCAGAAAGAGAAAATTGCAAAGTGTCTAATCAATCAAAGAACACACAAACAAAATACAAACCACTCAGAGCTCCTGCTCAGCCTGAGATGAACAGGGTTACCTCTTAGACTGTTATTCCATGCAAAGTAAAGGCGATGGTGCTCCATGGTTCCTTTTATGACTCCCAGGGCCTGGGTGTTTCTATGTGAGGTCTGTCCAAGCCTGTCCTCTGCATAGAATATTGGGAGGCTCTCTGGTCACCAGGTATGTATAGATGGGGTGCTGGGTCTTAGCCCTCATTTTTGCACATTGTTAACATTCAGCTTTGGTGGTTCAGTCCTTACAGAGGGGATTTGACAGCGTCTAACACATGACACACACATATGCCCTTTAACTTAGCAATTCTACTTCTAGGGATCTATCCCAAAAATACACTGGCAAAAATACAAGTACCATATGCACAAGCTCTTCACTACAACACTGTTTGTGGAAGCAAAATATTATAAATATACCCAAACTGACCTTCCACGGGGGAGTATGGAGTAAGGCACAGGGCATCCCAGCACCTGGTATGATGTGGATGGAGGGAGGAGTGGGACACATGAGACCCTCAGGGTACACTGGTTTTAGTTTTTTGAAAAAGAGGTACCAGAAAAGTGCTTATAGTTGTTGCATTTACATACACATATATGTCTATTTTCAATAAGAAAAAGGGGAAGAATAAGCCTAAACCTACTGAAAATATAATATATGGATGAGGGCCAGGGACAGAAGTGATTTTTCTTGTTTTATAGTTTGACTTTGCAACCAAGAAAAGGCGTTACAGGATCAAAAATAAATAAATACATCTGTAGAAGCTGAGAACAATTGACAGCAAATTAGCCTTAGTGTATCAAGTTGGTGACATGACTGCACAGAACAAAACGTTATTTCAGTTCAGTTCAGTCACTCAGTCGTGTCCGACTCTACGACCCCATGAACTGCAGCACACCAGGCCCCCCTGTCCATCATCAACTCTTGGAGTTTACTCAAACTCATGCCCATCGAGTTGGTGATGCCATCCAGCCATCTCATCCTCTGTTGTCCCCTT